TATAGCCTTTTTTAAATATTTTGACAGACAGGTAGACAAGCGAATTAAATAATCGTGCACATTGCAGAAAAGTGCATTGCTGGGTATGTCTGTAAATCGGTGAGATTTTCAAATTAATTCGGCGCTTTTCGCAAATGTAACTTCGTTTAATTCTCGAAGCATTTTTCAAGTAACGAACGATACAGCACAATGATAATCAAGCGCGTCCCGAGGAGTACGGTAATCACTGTAAATTTCAATTTCATTAAACCCAACCGCTTTGCAGTTGGCTTCTCCAGGGTCGCTTTCAGATCCACCCTCATTGAGTAATAAGTGTAGTAATTAATGCGGAGAAGATTAATTACCGTAAAGGGTAACAAAATGTTTAGACCCCAAGTTTTCCCTCAAGGCCACCAACGTTTCCGTCAAGTTATGCATTAATTCTGAAGTAAGCGCGAGCGAACCCGATACTTGCTTTAAGACGAAGCTATCGTGACGCTTGATATATTTTCATCGTAATACTAAAATAATAGGAGCCACGTTCGGACAACTTATTTTCCATAATTATCTCGTGAAATATACATATATATATACATACAGACTAAGCCGACTGCCCACCTCGTTAGATATTTTCTTATTCGCTTAATTCCCTCGCTATTTGTTCACGGCGTTGAAATGGAAAAAATTTGTTACGCAAATGCGCCTACGTCATCGTTACGAACTTTCGGTTAGAAGTTAATGTCAAATTAGCGATCGGTAAGGGGAACGAATTCGTGAAAATTAAAGCAGAAATATACATGTACATGGAACATTTGAGTCCTATTGAATTTTTCATAGTGCCCAATGACATCGTAAAGCAAAGAGCGACAGAGAGGAAAGGAAGAAAGAAGCAGTTTTACCGATAACCAAAACCAGCACGATATAGAAATTTGAGTACAGCAAAATACCACCTCATTACGTGAAACAAGGATAGCCGTTGTAAAACGTAAAGAAAAAAACGAATGGTCATCAACTGCGCTTAAGTATCGATAAAAATATTTTTTTTCGAAAACGAAAAAATTCCAGAGACGTATAGCACGAGTAAAAAAAAAAGGGTCCACTCCACCATTTCCGAGGTACGTTCTTGTATATACGACGGATCATTTATTATTGCTTTCGCGCCAGTTGGAATTGTGTATTATTAAAACATCTTCGCCCCCAGTTTACATCTTCTCTTTACGCGAACGTTTCTAAAATTATCCCAACTCCTTTACCCTAAGGTCCACTTGCGTATTTCCACCCCTGCCGCGTCGCGACGTTCACACTAGCGTATTATGTTTGGTCCGTATGTTCCCGACCGGGTGGCTGAGTGCATCCACATTGTTCCGTGATGTATCCTTACGTGGAGAATGTTTATAAAATGCAGTAGAAGGATGAAGAGAGACAGCTATAGTTCAAGACGCCTCGTTAGGACGTACCTAGTACATCGTGAGGCACCGGTCAAACGTAACGGGACGCCGAGCGTCGTTCCTTGTCGAAAAAGAATGTGGAATAGGAAAAAGTGACGTAGGACCTTAAAACTCGGCGTATTTGAAATAAACGAAGTCTTGAAATATTTAGTGTAAGATATTTCGTGAGATATGAGACCTTTTGAGCCGCCGACCAACCACTGAAAGGCGAACGTTCTTTATACGGACTTAAAGAGACGCGTTGATATACATATTCTATATATCCCGTTCTCTCTCTCTCTCGTTCACTTGGCCATTTGCTCGTCACGTCCTTTACTTACGTCTACCCATAATTCCTACACTCGTTCAAAGTTTTAGCACAGATTTCATATTCCATATACTGTATTTAAGATTGTTCATTCTTGTCTCTCTCATGCTTCCCTTTCGTTTTTTTTGTTTCATCTCTCTCTCACCACTCGGCTCCCTATGTCAATACACGTAGCACCTCTCTCTTCTTCGGAGTGGTTAATATTGCTTACGCATAATGGAGCCGCGTCTCTTCAATTTATTCTTAGACACTCGAGTACGTACGCGACGCGCGTAATTCTTCGGGAGAACTTGTCGCGAGTATAGAGACGGACTTTACTTTCTGGGATGAATCTCAGTCATGGATCACAACGAGAATCTCTTTAAATTTACCCCCGTACCTTCCTTTGCTGCCCGCTTCGTTCGTTCGACACGCAAATTGACAAAAGTCTCTCGTTGCTTTTGGGTTTAACGTGGCCCCTATTTTTCTCGTATAATTCGACAAGAGTATAGTGTACCCGGTTGACGGTATACCCGCGTGGAAATCTGAGAATGCCAAGGTTCATTCAAAAGCGTCGTATTGTTTTTACTCCGTTTCTCTCTCTCTCTCTCTCTCTCTCCCCCTTTACAGAGCTTTGAACGCACAGGATAGAAATCTGCAGAACATGGAACGCATTCAGCAATCTACGTCGACTTTCCTCGGCTAATGCGAGATGAAATTACAGAACCCAACGTACCCGACAGCGAGGCCATTCTCAAAAGGACAGAGCCTTATTCACTTGTGCTTGTTTTCGCAACCAACTGCCAGACGAGACGAACGTTCATCCCCGCAGAATCCGGTCTCGTACGAAACGTCTCGGTTACATTAGGTACTCTGTGTAAATCTAAATCATCCATAGCCGGAGGTTTCCTCTGCTCTTCCTTAGGCCCCGTATCGCAAGCGTACGCGTTAACGAGCTTTAGCTAATTAACTTGCCGCGATACAGCTGACCTTAAAGTGCAGAGCCAGCTCCGTGAGATCTGCTGCAAAACGTTTTCCAATGGCCGAACGACACCAATGACTTTTCCAAAATATCCTTTTCCCAGCATCTTCTCGATATTCCCAAGTAAAGTCGCTCGCGCGACTCTACCATCTGTGCCGAATATTTTCCTCTCGCTATCCGCGTTCCCCCCGTGGCACTTTTCTTAGCTGGAAATTCCACCTGATGTTATCGGATCGCGAGTTCGCCAGCTGCTATTGGCAGATCTGTTACCCCGTTACATTGTTATTATTCTACTCTGGCAAAAAGCTTGTTACACACTGATTACGGCTACACACCTAGGTGGTTATTCGATGTTTAATTTTTTCCCACTGCCTTTTTCTTTCCTGTTTTCTTTCGTCTAAAGACGCTCTTACGTAGGCGTAGCCTGACTCTCTGGAGGCGCGGCGGATATTTCATTCCCGGCCACGAAGAAAAAGGCCGAAGGTATCACGGGGGTGGATGATGTCGAAAAGAATACAGACAGGGCGAAGGAATAAAAAGAAAAACAAAGAATACTACCTACTTCGTATACTCCTCGAATCCAGTGGCGGACGACAAAGGGCGCGGAATTAGACGGCTTTGCTGGAGGCTTCTGGAGTTTCGCATCGGTAATCAAAAGATTCCGAGTGGGTCGAATAGGGCAAAGCTTTGAGAAAACCGCTAGGTAGGAGGAAAAGGGAGAGTGAGAGGGACAGTTTCCCGATTTAAATTCCCATGACTGCTAAGAGAGAGGAGAGAGAGAGTTCATAAAGAAAGAGAGAGAGAGAGAGTGTGAACCAAAAGTAAGTCTATGGAGAATCAAATACTAATGCACTACTTATAGAGATTTCTAACGGGTTGGGCAAGTCTGTTTGATGAACGAATTCTTAATAGGAAGACATCGAGCGCAAACGGTTAAAGAGCTTCGTAGAAGAGCTCACGAAGAATTAATCTCAAGCCGAGTCTCCGTTACCGCATCGCTTTTTACGAAATTGAAATACGAATGCCACGTGCTGTTGTTTTCGCAGGATAATCGTTTTATGCTGCGTTTAACAAACTTGAGGCATTCTCTCGATAGGGCAACACGATTCTTTAACTTCTTCGTTCTTCCTTCTTCTATGGAAGTTGCGAGAACTGAAACGAGCACAGCTCATGGGTTTGGTAGGGGGGCAGGGGGGTTGTGTGAACTTTTTTTACTATCTCGAATGGTAATAAAAAATCAACTACCTTTGAACCCATTTGACATTGACGAGACGTATACATATACTCACGTACATATTAAGGAGTTTCTTTGTCTGTATACATATACGCAAAAGCACACGTGTTATTGTAGATGAGTGATGAAAATACTTTGGCGACTGCTCCACAATATGCAGGTTTACGGGGCATGAAAATTCACGGGATCCGTTAGAATGCGAACATTAATAAAAAAAAAAAAAAAAAAAA